AGCGACAAGCTAGATTTAAGGGTTTTTTAATTCAGTATTGATGCCCCCACCACCTTCTTCCTTCTGCCTGTCATCAGCCTTGTATCACACGTCTGGCCCCTTCTTAGTTCCTGTCCTGCTGCCTCCCTTTCCGACATTGAGTTGCACGTTGGAGCTGACTGGGGCCTAACTGGAGTCTAGGGGGACAGCACTGCAGATGAAGGTGACTGTGAAACACCTAACCTGGGCTGAAAAATGGACCACTGGCCACTTAGAAAGGAGAGTATGTCTTTGTACATGTGTGTGTGTGCGCACGCGCGCACACGCACGTTTCATCAGTGTTTGAGCACCTGTTGTGGGCAGGGCACTAACCTGCAGGTGCTAGGGACACAGTGATAACTAAGACAGAGTAAGAGCCCAGAATAGAGCAAGGTCCTCATTGGCCCGGTGCGGGTGGGGCAGATAAAGGCTTCCTTGAGCCGAGGACTGAGGTCTGAATAGGGCTTACTTTCAGCAACAGTGGGGAGGAGGTGTTCCAGGGAGGGCCTTTACCTGGGCCCTGCTCCGGCTCTGTGCTAGGAGGAGAAGGAGGCTGAAAGGGCCTGTTGGGAGTCTCCCAGGGCCTCAGGCCACATAAAGAAACTTTTTTTTTTTTTAAGTTTTATTTATTCTGAGACAGAGAGAGGCAGAGAAAGAGAAGGAGGGAGAGAGGTTCCCAAGCAGGCTCTGCACTCTCAGTGCAGAGCCTGACACGGGGCTCGAACTCGTGAACCATGAGATCATGACCTAACCTGAAATTAAGAGTCAGACTTAACTGACTGAACCACCCAGGCGCCCCAGTGAGGAGTCATTTTTAAGTGAGATCTCACTAAGACTTAATAACTACTTGGGAAGTGCCAGGTCTGAGAGAAGAGAAGATTTAGAAGGCGTTGTTTTATTAATCTGTCTCCCCAGCTGCCACCTGCTTTTAAGATGTAGGATTACAGGGGCGCCTGGGTGGCGCAGTCGGTTAAGCGTCCGACTTCAGCCAGGTCACGATCTCGCGGTCCGTGAGTTCGAGCCCCGCGTCAGGCTCTGGGCTGATGGCTCGGAGCCTGGAGCCTGTTTCCGATTCTGTGTCTCCCTCTCTCTCTGCCCCTCCCCCGTTCATGCTCTGTGTCTCTCTCTGTCCCAAAAATAAATAAACGTTGAAAAAAAAAAAAAAAGATGTAGGATTACATCATCTATCAGAAAATGTAGTCCGTAGCGTTCTTCCCCCAGCAGCACGGAGAGACTGCCCTCTGCCCTCTGTTCAGAGTACTTCCTCTGTGCCTGATGCTTCCAAAGCTGGGGCAAAAAAAGCAACATTTAGATTTGGCAGAATCCAGCTGCTGGAGGCCGCGTTGCTTTGTCTCCAGTTGGACGCTGGACCTTTGAGCGTGCTTTGTGGGGCTGGCTCGGGAAGGATTGACGAAGTGTTGTTGGCTGTAAATAAACCTTCATTCTCTCTACCAGGATCTGGTACTTCTCTGCTGAGCAAATCCTCCCAGCTCAAATGGCAGCTTATCCCGTGTCATGGAGCCATATTGTTTCTACTTCCTTCCTCTGCTCCAGTCATAGTTTCTGGATGGCTGGACTTTTTTGTATTCTCTGCAGGGGAACCACATTCCAGACTCTACAGTCCCTGAGAACGAGGCCCCTGTTGTGGCTGCTGCGTTCTTACAGGTCTCAGACATAATTGATTAAGGAACCAAAATTGGCAGGTTCAGATCATTGTTCTTCGGGGCCATCCCTGGCCCGTCAAGGCCACTTCATGTCCTGCGCCCTAGTGAGGCTTTAGGCTCAGGTGAAGCCTGGGGAGGCTGGATGGGTGTGGACAGTCGGGAGGTGAGGCCTTGCCTCAGCATTTGTTTCTTTGACCAGCTCAGCCTTCCTTTCGTGCCTTTCCCGTGGTCTCACTTGGCTTCTTCAGAAGCTATGCGTTTTGTTTCATTTTTCTTTTTGTCTTAATTGGACTTGAACTGGAGCGCTGAAGTGTTTACCTGGCCTTTTTTCCCAGGAGCTGCTAGGTGAGATGCTTTGTTTTTGCCTGCCTAGTGAACTGGGGGGAAACCTCTCAGCCTGCTGAGTCTGGGGGCCAAGCTCTCCTGTATACAGGTCTGTCCAGGTCTCTGGGCTGTGGGTTCCATGCCTCCCAGCTGACTCAGACTACAGTCTGGTGCATAGATCTGGCTGAGTTCATGACTTAAACCAACTGGGAATATCCACCTGGAGGCCAGAGGGTTGGATTCATACAAGTCAAGACAGGCACCCCCTGTGCGTTCCAACACACCGCTTTGGGGCAAGAAAAGGAACAGTGGTTTCTTGTTGCTTTTTACTTATATCCTAACTGTTCCCTTCCTGCCTCCTTAAGGGCATAGTGAGAACCTATAGCCAATTTTTTAAAACTGCTGTCTTGAACGGCTGGCAGTTTAATAATGTGGACCTTCCATCTCTCTCCTTAGCTCTGTCTTAAATGCTTCATCAAATGGTTTTCTTGGCTGGCTGCCAGGGTAACTAGCATGGGTGTTTGGTTCGTTTTGTACTGAATTCCTGGTATCTGAGGCATGTCTGGTAGGAGGGTGCCTCTCTGGGTCTTCATCTCAAGTGTGGACCACCCTCTGCCCTCAGTCCTGTCTTCCCCTGAGGCTGCTTTGATTGGATGAAACTTGCTTCAATGGACAGTTGAACGTAAATGGTCCTGAAATTTATGCGTCTTTGGGGTATTTGACAGCCATCCTCCGTGGTCTCACCAGACACCCCAACTCTCCTTCCTTGCTGACCTTCCTTCAGCATTGTTTGAAGTCCTGGAATCATCCCCCTTTGAAGAACCCGTGAGACTGTGGCTCCAGGCCCTTTATTGTGGAACTTAATCAAGCCTCCTTATGCTCAGGGCAGGATGTGGGGTTAAACTGCTTTAGGATCCAGAAGAACCTGGCTTGTTGGCTTTCTTCTTTGGGGGCACCTTTGCACAGTGACACGTGTCCGGGAGCTCAGCAGGCTCACAACCCAGCTTATTTGTGTCTGAGGAAAGAAGAATTATATTCTAAAGCCTAACAAGATGTGGCCACCAGGAGGCACAGATTCCCGTGGTCTCATCGTCCAGGGCCTTAGGAGTCCCACCAATGTCTGTGACATGGAGGAGGGATCTGAACAACCAGTTTCCAAAGTCTTTCCAGGAGAACTTTGTGCAGAACTACATGGCTTCCAGTCTATGGTGGCTCGTTTATGTTGTCACTTTATAAACTTGATTCTCTTAAGGCCAGAGAATCTTGCACTTGAGTTAGATCGATGGTTCATAGGTTGGCACTTGGTTTGGAGGGATCATGGGGCTGAATTCCACTGCAGGGAGGGGGTTGTCCCTGGGGATGCTGAGTTTGGGATTGAGTAAGAGCCCATAGCTCCATGGGGCTCCAGGTACACTCTGGACACACCCCATCCGTGTATGTGTGTGCATGCGCACATGCGTGTTGTAACATTAAAAAAGCAAAAGACTAGACTAGTTAGCAAGTGGAAACCCACTATCAACTTTATTCCTTTTTGTATTTGTGTAAAATGATCGATTTGAGGAATGAGGAACTAAGCCAAAAAAGGAAAGTCTGAGAGATGAAGGGATACCTCCCCGCTGGTGACTTTGCTCCATCTTTGGTTTTCTCCCTGAGACCTGACTCAGCAGCCTCAGCTCAGCCAGGCAAGAACCTTGTGAAACGTGGGAATCCCCGTCCCTCCCATTGCTGGGGGCACAAGCTTTAGGAGGCCGCAGTGGCTGACAGCCTTTCACCCTGCCCAAGGAGCCTTCGGGTAAACAAGTATTTTCCTCTTACAAGAGACACTTCATGTTTGGTGACTAACTTCCTGTGCCTCTGGAGTAGCCCCGGTAGCATTCCCACGTGGATATCGTGGATATCGTGCCTCCTTCCTCGGGCCGGGCTGGCTGAGGGGCTGGCGCCCTGCCGTGCTTTGGGAAGGAGCCCCCAAGGAGCCTTTGAATAGTTAACGGTCAGTCCTTGGATGACCAGCCAACTGGCCACGGAGGGGAGGTAGGATGTACCCAATTGATATTTTCCCACAATTAGTACCCAGAAAGCTGTCCCCTAGAGGGAAAATTTAAGGACCTTTTACAGCCCCACGTTTTGTTGCTGCCACACTCTTTTAACATTGGTTCCTCCGGAGTCACTGCTACAAAGGGATTGTTGTGGGGCCCCTGGAGACGGGCACTCTCTGTAGAGCAGCTGATTGATGACCAACCTGAATTCGGCATGGCAGTCTTCCAGGCGGCCTCCCAACCCTTCTGTTCCCTAGCTCAGGCCTGCCTCCTCTTTGCCCACCTGACTGGCAGGGGGCGAGTAGCTGGAGGAGACAGGTTGCTAAGCAGCCTGGCCTGGACGCTATGCCTGTTTCGGTCGAATGAATAGCTGCAGTGTTCAGAAGAGCGAGGGGGTTTGGGCCTTTCCCAGAATCAGGAGAGACTTTTTGGGGAAGGGGGCTAAGAACTACCATTCTTAGCACAGAGCCATTGCATGGGAGGGCTTCTGGCATCTTCCTTTCTGAAATGTTAACTTGCTGTAACATTTCTTCCCGGAAGTGAAGTACCCAGAGCCCTGCTGCTGACTCCATGTGCCCATTTTGTTCCAGAGTCGTTACTGTCTTAGACACCTCCTCCCCCACCAACCAAAGAGAAAAGAAATGAGGTCCAATAGCTTCCCCCGAGCACAGTTTTTCTGCCACTGTGATCATTAGCATATCGTGCACTTGAGGCCCCTGATCCGAGCGTGTGTGAGGGGCCAGGTTTCCCCAGAGACAGGGAAGACAGGTATGTTGTTGCCGTTGGACATTTGGGGCAGTGGAATCAAGGGTCGGCCTTCCTCCCCACCCTGCCCAGGCTTGTTTCAGAGGCCTGGGCCTTCTCCAGGTTGATCAGGTTTAAATGAAGCACTTACTCTGAGCAGTGAAATACAGAGCAAGTCCAGCAAAACGTCTGATAAGAAACCTTTGCTCTTAAGTTTCTGCACTCGGCCAGCACTGAAGGACCTGTAGAAGTGGGCGTTGCAGGGCGGAAGTTTGCACTAAGGATCAGAGAATGCTTTTCTTTGGAGAGATACAAAGCCATTGTAAAGAGCCAAGAGGTGAGCCAAGAGAGAAGCTGCCTCCGTGCTAGGGCCCTTCTGGGGGCCTGGTTCAGTCGCTTGTTAAAGGCGCAGTACATGCCTGCTCCAGGGTTCCACAAGCTAGCCCGTTATGATAAAGTCTCTCTTTTTTCCTTAGACTGAAAGTAGGAAAAATCTCTTGGGAGCAGGTAGTCTTTTGTGCTTTAGTCTTGGGATTCTCATGTTACAAAGTTGCCACCTCTTGCTTCCTCAGTACTGGGTAGGGGTGGCAGTGTTCTGGGATGGCTGACCAGGCCCCAGGGGGGACAGCGGGCAGGGTCCAGGTGTACAGGTGACGAAGGCTGGCATTGGCTCTGCTTGGCATTGGGGGATATTGGTCCCCACTGGGGGCCGCGGAGGAGAGCCTGAAGCAGGCATCCAGAGCATCTTGGCTGCTCTGATAAAGGGGGATTAGGAGGTTCAGGGGTCCCAGAAGGCCGCCAAAGCATCGGCTCACTCTTAGGTTCTTTGTGTTGCTTTTACCTTTTCTCCTCCCTGAAAATCCTGAGTGGTTTCAGTGAAGAAAGTAACTGTGTGGGTCAGGAGGCCCGGGCTTACCTCCTTGTATTTATTTCTCTTCTGCAGGATAACCCAGAAGTAGAAAAGCGAGATCCTCAGGAATTAGTTGGTGAGTACCCCAGGGGGAGCCTCGGAGGCGGATTCCTGAGCCTTGCCCGGAGCAAACTGGCTTCCAGCCATGCAGGGCCTACCCCTGCATGGGGCTTCTCTCTGCTTCAGCCAAGGCAGCCGTTCTGCTGAGAGCCTGGTCTCTTCATGTGCTCTCTCAGGGCCTTTGACATTTCCTAAGATGTCTGAGTAAGACGCCCAGGGAACAATTCTTCTTTGAAAAGCATATTCATGGTGCATTTCACTGGGCTGTGGTCAGTTGCCAGTGTTTTCAAGATGGATTTAGGGCCCCTTTCAGCTGGGAGCTCGTTCCAGTTGTGCCCTAGGCTTGTCCTCTGTCCTTGTACGCCCCCTCCCCGCTTTGCTGGCATATTCATGTACTCAAAAAGCAAATATGTGGCCTCTGCTGGCACTTTGCTCTGTCCCCAGCAGGGAACATGCCTCGTAGCCCCAGAGTCCAAGACCCTTTTGGCTTGTGGGGCAGGGCAGTTTTGTTTCCGAAAAGTGGCATCCCAGTCCCTATGCTAACTCTGGTCTCTTAATCCTTTTTTATTATTTTTTTTTTTTAATTTTTTTTTTCAACGTTTATTTATTTTTGGGACAGAGAGAGACAGAGCATGAACGGGGGAGGGGCAGAGAGAGAGGGAGACACAGAATCGGAAACAGGCTCCAGGCTCTGAGCCGTCAGCCCAGAGCCCGACGCGGGGCTCGAACTCACGGACCGCGAGATCGTGACCTGGCTGAAGTCGGACGCCCAACTGACTGCGCCACCCAGGCGCCCCTCTTAATCCTTTTTTAGAAAGTACCTCGACTCTCAGTTTGGTCACGGACTTTGTAACAGCTCTGCCAAAGCCTGTGCAAACGTCATGGAGAGGGCGACCCTCCCTCCGTGTGGTTAACTGTGACCATCTCTCCCTGCCTGCTCTTTTAATCTTCACAAAGCAGGGGTTCTGCTTCAAAGGCAGCCTACGGAACCTTCCCCTGTGCTTCCAGATGGAGGCTTTGTGGCCTGCAGGCCCTCGAGCCCATCCTTTTTTTGGACAGGATCCTCTCACGGGATATGGGAGGTGGAAACCTGTCCTGTGTTCCTAACTAAAAGGATGAAAATTACCCCATTACATTTGTTCTCTGAGCAAGGATTGGGTAGGAAGGAACCCTCAATAAGCAGCCTCAACCCTCAGCAGGATTCTGCCTTTAGCGCTGAGTGTTGTGTGTGATGAACACAGTAGGAGTCTTTCAAATCCTATAAAACCCAGAATTTTCCTAGACCTCAGAGTTCACTGCTTAGAAAATGGCCGTGTAGGGGACGTGCCAGCTGGCTTTGCAAACAGAGGAAGCAGAGCACAGTCTCCTCCCAGTGGGTAATGCACAGGGGCATGTATGGATCGGAGCCTCAGTCTCCTGTTCCTTCCTGGCCTCACCAGTCCCTGCTGTAAACTACCAAGAAATGGGGGCTAGGGGTCTGTGAGGTCAGAGCAGCCGGGAGCCCGATGCAGCAGTGAGCTCTGCCCACAGTGCTCGGCAATCAGTGGAACTGGGGGGCACATCAGCACCTCCGCCCCAACTTCCACCTTTTCTCTCCTTGCCGTTTTGTGAAAATAGTTTTGTTGAGGTGTAGCTTACATAGGGTGAGGTTTGCCAATTTTTAGGGTGCCATTTGATCAACTTTGACAGATGCATGTAGTCACCTATAAACTATCAACTCTAACACCTATAAACTGTAAAACACTTCTGTACAGGGGTGCCTGGGCAGCTCAGTCTGTTGAGCATCCAACTTTGACTCAGGCCGTGATCTTGCTGTTTGGGTTCAAGCCCCACATTGGGCTCTGTGCTGACAGCTCAAAGCCTGGAGCCTGCTTCAGATTCTGTGTCTCCCTCTCTTCTCTGCCCCTCCCCCATGTGCGTGCTCGCTCATGCGCGCTCTCTCTCTCTCAAAAATAAACATTAAGGGGCGCCTGGGTGTCTCAGTCGGTTAAGCGTCCGACTTCGGCTCAGGTCATGATCTCACAGTTTGTGAGTTCGAGCCCCGTGTCGGGCTCTGTGCTGACAGCTCAGAGCCTGAAGCTTCCTTCAGCTTCTGTGCCTCCCTCTCTCTCTGCCCCTCCCCTGCTCATGCTCTGTCTCTCTCTGTCTCAAAAATAAATAAACATTTAAAAAAAAAATAAACATTAAAAGAATTTTTTAAGATCCACCTCTTTGTAAAGTTTTTTTTTTTTTTTTAATATTTGTTTTTGAGAGAGAAGAGTGCATGAGAGCAAGGGAGGGGCAGAGAGAGAGAAGGACAGAGGATCTGAAGCAGCTCTGCACTGACAGCAGAGAGCCCAATGTGGGGCTCGAACCCATGAACTATAAGATCATGACCTAAACTGAAGTCGGACTCTTAACCAACTGAGCCACCCAGAAGCCCCATGAAACACTTCTGTCGCTCCAGGGACACCTGGCTGGATTGGTCAGTGGAGCGTATGACCCTTGATCTCCGAGTCATGACTTCAAGTCCCACACTGGGCCTAGAGCTTACTTAAAAATTCATTGATTAATTACTGTTTAAAACACTTAATTTCCTTCGCTCCAAAATGTTCCTTATACCTCTCCTCACAGACGATTTCCTCCCTGGGCCTCTGGCAAGCAGTGTTGTACCTTCTTCACTACAGTTTTGCTTTTTTAGAATTTCATAAAGATCAGGATTTCTCAGCCTTAGCACTATTGACCTTTTGGACCGGATAATTCCTTGTTGTGGGGGCCTGGCCGGTGTTTTCGCATCCTCAGCCTTCTGGATGCCAGTGGCACTCCCCTCCCTCTGCCACATGTGCCAAGGAAAAACGTTTCTAGACATTGCCTAATGTCCCCTTGGGGATTGGGGGGAACGTAATTGCCCTCAGTTGAGAACCACTGACAGAAATGACAGTGCCATCTTATTTTTTGTCTGGCTTCCTTCGCTTCCCATATGGTTTTGAGATCCTTCTGTGTGATTGAGCGTATCCGTAATTTCGTTTTATTGCTAAATACGTTATTTTATTGTAGGATTACCGCCACAATTTAATCTGTGCACCACAGTAGGTATTGGAGCCTCGTAGTCTTGTTTGCTCCTACTGTTTCTCACTCAGGAGGTGGTACTTGAGGTCCGCCTGAACTCAGCTCCTTTTGTTAATAAGATACCTCTGGAGATAGGTCTCTCGGGTTGCTCCCCTGATATGGGAAGCATTTTCCTATATGTAGGTGGCTCCAGGTTTTGTTTTCTTTTTTGCAATTAAAAACAAATTTTTATGTGTTTTATTTTCTATTTGAGAGAGACAGAGCACGAGCAGGGAAGGGGCAGAGAGACAGAGACAGAATCCGAAGCAGGCTCCAGGCTCCGAGCTGGTGAGCACAGAGTTCTATGCAGGGCTCGAACTCAAGAGCAGTGAGATCATGACCTGAGCCGAAGTCAGACGCTTACTTAACTGACTGAGGCACCCAGGCACCCCTTTATTTTTTTTATTATTATTATTTTTTAAGTGTATTTATCTATTTTGAGAGAGACAGTGAGCAGGGGAGGGACAGAGAGAGGGAGAGAGAATCCCAAGCAAGCTGTGTGCCATCAGCCCAGAGCCCGATGCAGGGCTCAAACTCACGAACCGTGAGATCATGACCTCAGCCGAAACCAAGAGTCGGACACTTAACTGACTGAACCACCAAGGGGCCCCTAGGTGGCCCCCGTTTAATGGAGCAAATGAAAGCAGAGCAGCTGACCCGGGTTCCTCCGACACTGTGGCCGCTTGACAGCACTGAGCACGCGTGGCCAGTCTGTCCCCTCCAGGCAGCCAACGGATGCCCCCTCGTCATGCCTGGAACTGTGGCCTGAGGCGGTAATCCAGTCGGCTTCTCCGTGTCTCTGGTGAACTAGAGCGCACTCCACTGCCTCCTCCCGTCCCCACAGTACCCCCCAGGCACGTCTTCTCTCCCCACTGTTACGTAAGCCCAGCCGACTAGCTGGTCCTGCTCAGATTCGTACCTGGCCGTCACGGATACCATGACCGTTTTTGGCTTGGATGTGCACGGGGTGAGTCACCGAGGTAGACTTCTCAGATCCTGAGTACGGCTGCCCTTCTAGAATGCCCCCAGTAGACCCCAAGGGCAGCCACAGTACTGGGAGCTGCCCCCAAGGGCCTGGGCACCTTTCTCCATGGATTTCCTGGGAGGATGGTTTGAGGCCTTGTGGCCGCCCACATCACCATATGTATGTGGGGTTGATGTCGTCTACTTTAGATCATCCTGGGACTTAGGAAAGAATCGCTGAAGGATGGCTCCTGAAATCACTGAAGGAAGCTGTGGGAAAACTTTTATCTAATTTTCTGACTATATCCCTTCACTTGCCAGTTACTGTGGAGGAGTTCTTTTGTTCTAACCGGGGAGCTCAGGAGGGGCCCTGTCACACTATATACTGTTTGAGTCCTAGTGTAGTTGGGTTGCTGTGGCAACAGTGTCACACCCTGTTTTTCCAAAAGGCTTTCCTGGCAAATGCCAAAGGGCATTCTTTGTCTCTCCATCACATGCACACATACATTCTCCACCCCTTCTTGTGCCCAAAGCCTGCCCAGGCCCTCCTTGCTTTTGCCGTCCGGAAATAACGAGGGCCAGCTCACCCCAGCTCATTCCACTCTCAGCTGGCCTCTGCAGCCTGCATGAGCCTCAGGCTGAGACGGAGGGAGAAGCCAGGACGAGACTTGAACTCTAGCCAGATAATGGGTGCCACGAACTCTAGCCAGATAATGGGTGCCACCATCGCTGCAGGCGTCAGGAGACAGAAGGTGCTGGGCAAAGAGGAGCACGTAGTCCCCTGGCGGAAACCGCTCCTAGGCCGCACTGGTGTCCCGGGTCCACAGCAGGACGTGTCACCCCGTGTCGGTCCTCGGGCCTTCACCCAAAATGGCACGCCTAGCGCTCTGTTCTCAGGGCACATCCAGTGAGAACCCACTGCCGGCCGTGGGAGTCTGCACGCGTAGCGCGTTATCAGACTCCGCCCCAGCCTCGGTGCAGGGTGTTTCGTACAGTTGAGACTGGCAAAGCCATACCCTCAGCCCTTCTTGGCACTGAGTTCTTCGTAGTAACAGCACAACTCAGTGGAGATCAGAGCACCTTATCTGCTAAGAAAACATTAACCCAGCCCCAGTAGAAAAGAAGGCGAAGGCTGTGCTAGGCTCTCATCACGCCGTCCCGGCAGCCACTCAGGGCTAAGAGATAGTATGGCCCCGGGCCTGGCACACAGTGGGTACCCAGTAAGTACTTGCTGGGTGTTCTTGGTGCTGGTTTGTTCATTCTTTCCCTTCATCCTGCCCCACCCCACTCCGCCTGCTGTTCTCTCATTGTATGCTCCTTTTCATGAGAGAATGTTTTCAAGAGCGCAGACAGAATCTTACAACAAACAGTGCATTGTCTGAGTGACCCAGAGCACACTCTGCGGGCCCAGGGTGGCCAGAGGCTACAGGGAAGGGAGCGGAGAGTGGGAAACTTGGGTGGGCAGTGGCCGATTGCTGAGGGAACTAGCCCTCGGGACTTGTGGTTCTTCACATCAGAATCAGGCCCTTTGTTCCCAAGAACTAGGCGGACCAAAAGAGAGTTGATTGGTTTGTTTTTAAAAGACTAAGCTAATAAGCAGCAGGTAGTGTTTGAAATATTTATGCACAGGGCGGTTTTGAATGCTTTGAATCCCACAGCCTAGGGAACCCCGAACTCTGTTTCTCCTGTATCTTGGGTCGGATGGCCTAAGGTGAGAAGGATGACATACCAAGCAACTCTGCGAGTTTCCAGAATCCTGGGATGGTGTTGTAGGAACACAACCGGGCAGGCTGGAGCTGGCTCACTCGTGAGCCAGTGATGCTCCCCCCACCTGGGCCTCGGTCCAGCGACGAGAGAACGAATACCCCGGAATCTGGCAGACGCTGCAGATCACAGCTCTTCCCCTGCTCACCTCCCACCCCCCAGCTGGCTGTTAAACATTTACCAGCACACCCTGCACGTACCCTTTCCTTCAAAGTTAACTGCTGGACGTAGTAGCATGCATTCTTGACACTTGTCCCCTCTTCCCCCGGGTTGGCACATGCTGGTTCCTTCTGGTCATTTGATCTCAACTCAGATGACACCCGCGGAGAGGCCACTGGGAACACCATTGTACCGTTTCATAGCCTTTATCTCTCCTGGAAAACGTATGTGCCCTTTTTTTTTTTTCTTTTTTTCTTTTTAAACTTCATGTCTGGCCCTGATCCTTCCCCCGCCCGCAGCCATCCCCTGACATCCACACTCACAGAATTTTTCTCTCTGTCCTCCCACAGCCTCCTTTTCTGAAAGAGTCCGGAACATGTCGCCTGATGAAATCAAGATCCCCCCTGAACCCCCTGGCAGATGTTCAAATCACTTACAAGTAAGTACAGAGCTCGGCTGATGAGGCCTGTGTAGATGAGAAAGCCTGGGTCAAGTGTCTCGTTTGGTCTGACTTTAAGAGCCCTTCCGTAAAAGAAACAGCCAGGTGGGCAGGAGCGTGCAGTCCTGGTTACCTCTCTTAGCCTGCCATCAGGAGTTTGCTCTGTCCCCACTGCCACCCTCTGCCTCATCACCTGATGCTGTTCTAGCTGGGACCCCCTAGCTCGCCCTCAGGTCTGAAGCCGAGGCAGAGAAAATAAGGTACCTTCCATGCAACCCAGCTGAGCCAGTGGGGACCTTTGCCAAGAAACTGAGGGACCATTAAAATGTAAAATAAACAATGTAGAAACACCAAAACACAAGCATTTCTGTGCCTGAGATTCCTGTGCTCCTGTTCCTGACATGGCAGTTCACTAGCTTGTCTGACAGAATCGCAGACAGACGTGGCCTGAAGTTCTGAAATCCCAAGGAGGTAGACTATTTCGTGCAGTTACTCCGTTGAGAGCAGGACCTCGGGGGGGGGGGGGGGGGGGGGGGGGGGGGGGGGGGGGGCCGGGCCCTGGGGTTTGCACCTCCTTTTCAGCCCCTGTGATTGTTTCCCCTTGTCCTCTGGGGGTTCACCTGTGTGTGGAACTTTGCGACAGACCATGGGGCGGACACCCAGGGCTGCCCACTAGTGGCATCCGGTCCACCTGCTCTACCTCTCATCCCACAGATTCTGCTGGTGCCTCTGGCCACACCACAGGCCCACGGCACCATCCTGACGGATAGATGACTAAGGGGACCCGGGGCTCTGGAATGCAGCTGGCTGGGCAGGGCCAGAGTCGGGGTTGGGGGCACAGTACAGATTCTCTTCCTTTCCCAGAAGTCTCCTCCCTTTGCTGAGTTGTCCACCCCCCGCCAGGATAGCATCTCCCCTCCCTGCCAGGCAACAGGCCGCAGCCTGTAAGGACAGTCTGGCGATCTGCCAGGCAGAGACAACCGGCTGGCTCAGCCTTCAAGTTCAGTGTATTTCTCATTTTTATATTCTCCTAATCGTGGAAACCACGACATCAAGTGAACGTTTTAGTTGACTTGAAATGGGAGAACCCATCTGATGGCCCAGAAAGCCCAGAAAAGTAATCTGTAAGATACAGGTCACCCTCCATTTGCCAGGTCTTCTGCGGAAAGCCTCCCTTTGCCCTCGAAGAGATAACGTTGAAGTTTGTGGCTCTTGGTTGTCTCTTCCGTGGTAAATGTATTACAAACCTCTCTCTGCACTTCAGTGCTTCCTCTGGCCAGTCTCGGCAGAAAGATTCAGCCTCCTGACAAAGGGAGTGGATCACCTCTCCTGATGTTCCCAAAGGGCGTCACACAGGACCTCCGGCCCTGCCCACCTCCTGTCGCAGGTGAAGAGTGCCCCAAATGTTTTCCTTCTGAAGAGTCTGTGCCTTTAGCCGCCACTAGTGGGGGAGGCTGCAGAGAGACCTTGCCCTGGGCCAGCACCAGCCTTGCTGGGTAAGACTGGTCCACCTCACAGGTGGCTCTGTCCTGAGACTCGGGTGTCTGGGGCCTCTTCACGCGCTGGAAAGTGTGGAGGCCATCTGCTGCAGGGATCATCTGTGGGTCTTGAGATAACCTGTGGGACTGGTCTGCATTCCTGCCAGATGACCCTCCTATTGCCGGTTGAAAGCCAGAGAGCAGGGGTTTTGGGGGTGGGGGAGTTCTAATGAGATGAGCTCTTGACCCCTGACAGTGCCTCTTCATAAAGTGGTGGGGACTGGCCATCTGTGAGCCTCCCTACAAGGGACACTGTAGGAAGCTTGTGAGACCAAATCCAAAAAACTCTACTCCTGCCTTCCTCTGCAAGAACTTAGCCTTCCCAGGTCTCCCACTGAGGACTTGACCCGGTGTTTAAATTCAAAACTAGCATGGAGCCCCTGCCCATCCACTCTTTGCCTGAATCCTCTTTGGATGATTCAGGAGCTGATTCACAGGTGGGGATACGTTCGTTGTCTTGTCCACGGTTTCTCTTCCTCGACCTTTTACCACCCCCTCTGCCGGCCATCCAGAGGGAGGAAGCAAAACGAAAACAGACTGATCTCAGTCTGTCTGATTTGTGCTCCGCGCCGGTCACAGGCTGGGTGGAGAAAGACAGTGTGGCTGGAGTAAGGCTGCGCATGGCTCTGTGGGTCTCCTGTGACCAAGTGTCCCCACACAGCACGTGTGACCACAGACTGGGATTGTCGGTGGTGGGGTGGCGTCGTAAGTGCCCTTCTGTTTCTCTGCCTAGGACAAGATCCAGAAGCTTTATGAGCGGAAGATAAAGGAGGGAATGGATATGAATTACATTATCCAAAGGAAGAAAGAATTTCGGAACCCCAGGTGAGTTTCCCGTGGGCCTGCAGGGTCAGTTGAGTCACTGATGTTGGACTGGGGACTGGGATGCCCCCATGGAGGTGGCAGGGTGAGGCTCGGCTAAGATCCCCACTCTGTCCAAAGGGGCCATCGCCCAGACTGCAGTAACACGGAAGCCAGGGTGTGGAGTGGATGCTGAGAGACCTGAGCTGGGCTGGAGGAGGCCTGGCCGGGTTCTCTTGCTCACCCTACTCCTAAGGCACACAGCCTCACAACGTCTCAGTTTCCTCATCTCTATAATGAGGGAATTGGACTAGGCAATTCCCGTGGGTTCCTCTTTCACTTCCAGAATGTCACTGATTCTGCGTACAGGTGACAGGTTTTGCGAACAGAGCTGTGTCTGGGTCTTACTCTGTCCAGGGTCTGAGCAGGTGGGGCACCTGGGAAAGTCTGGTATGGTGGTGACCTCAAGGACGTGCCCCGGCCCTTATGTGGGCCCAACCCGACCACACAAACTGAGGGTCAGATGTCTAGTAAGACCAAAAACAAAAACAAAAAAAAGCCCACGGCCCTTACCTGGACACCATACCCATCCTGGCTAATGGTCCATCTCTCTGGGAGTGGGGAGGACGACAAGTGACTTCATGTCAGGCCAGTGGACGTTTCCCATTCTGTCGGGAAGCCTGTTTACAACAATTCAGCTGGGTTTAAAGGGTTCGTCTGAGCCCAGGAACTAGACCGTTCTGGCCTCTCAAAATCAGGTGCCACACAGGCCACGGGACTAGGGCCTGCTCAGTGCCTTGTGGCATTTTTCTTTCAGCATCTATGAGAAGCTGATCCAGTTCTGTGCAATTGACGAGCTCGGCACCAACTACCCAAAGGTACATCCCGTGTGCAGAGGCTGAGGGTTGAGGGGAGGGTACCCAGGGCCCTGTGCTCACCTCACTGGATTCAGCCTGGAGCTGCTGAAAGGCCCGTGTAGCGGCAGTGCTGGCTGAAGAGCACAGTTCCCTGCTCCCTTGTCGGGAGTCCCCACTGCTCTGGAATAGTCCGGGGAGAGATTGCGGTGACAGACCCGGCCCCAAGCCCCAACCGGTCACTGAGGGTGCACTTGGCTGTGCTCTGATGGCACAGCCCGTCAACAGGCTCGTCCCTGCTTCATATTCCCAAGAGCAAATCGGCCACCCCTTTGGCTAGAAACCCAGGATAACATCTGAGTCCCTATGCCCTTAGAGCAGGGGGAGTCCAGGCCAGGAAAATCCACGGAAAGATTTGGGGAGAGGGGACTTGGGTTTCTAAACCATTGGTCATCCAGTGACCCTTGCTGGCTGCAGCATTAACTCCTTCTTTTTCAGGATATGTTTGACCCCCATGGCTGGTCCGAGGACTCCTACTACGAGGCATTAGGTAGGTGGCCGTCCATCCATCTATCCTGTCTGTTCATCCAGTCAGTCAGCCAACATGTATTTCAGGGTCCCCACTGTGTCAGGCCGTGTCGGAGGAGGTAGGTACACAGTGTTGAACAAGACAGACCCGCTCTGGCTCAGGAGGCTTATGATGCAGCACGGAAGGCAGAGCGGTCCTGGAAGCGAGCAGTGTTGGGGGAGAGCGCCCAGGCAGGGCCGTCTAGCCAGCCGAAGGGGTGGGACGGCCTTGCTGTGGGGGCCATGTTCAAGACGAGGTTTGAAGACGTACAGAGGCCAGTCTGGCAGATGCAGACAGTGTCCCAGGCAGGGGGACGGAGTCTTCTGAGGCCGGTGAGAAAGCATTTTCTCAAGGGTCCCAGTAGGGAGAACTGGGAGGAATTACAGAGTCCAGGCCCTCAGATGGCAGACCTGAAATGGCAGGCCATGGGCCAGGTCTGGCCTGAAAATGTGTTGTGTTTGGCCCACACGTCTTACCTTGTTTTAACTTGAATCAGTTGCCAACGTTTTACCCAAAATCCATAATGCAGCTGCTCTTGGTCAGTGGGAAGGTATTCCACCCTGGGCCTGCGTCCCCGTCCCCGCACAGTGACAGTCAGCTAGGGCTCAGGGGCAGCTCACCCCTCCAGACAAGGTCCTTTACATCTGAGGCCTCTGCTCTGTAGATCTAAGGCCGCTTCCTTTTGCTGGTCACAAAAGGACGGTGAGACTGTGCGGCCTCGAGGCCACCTGCGTGCGGGGGTGGGGGCGTGACAAGTGCTGTTGTGGGGTCCCTCCGCCTAGAGTGTCTCTTCACGTGGGAGCTGTCCCAGGGCTGCTTTTGTTACACCTTCTCTGGTCTCTGTAGCTAAAGCCCAGAAGATCGAGATGGACAAACTGGAAAAGGCCAAAAAGGAGCGAACCAAAGTAAGTGGTGGACAAGGGTCCTGAAGGAAAAGGCAGGTGTCTAGGGTGTCGTTTCCCACCTTCAGCTTGAAGGTGCCTCTTGGTTACTTCCATTTGGTTTCTTGGGGTCTTGTGGTTTGCTGCGCGATGTCCTCCTTGGCCTCCCCCTTCCAGCTGCAGAGCCCCGGTGGCTCTCTCTTTAGTGTCACCAGTGTCCTCCCTGAGAGGTGTATTCCTTCCGAGAGTACTTACTTGGCCCCCAGATCTGATCTGCACAGTCCGCCTCAGTGCTTCCTTGTAGGTCCCATGTCTGGTGGCCGGGTGACCCCTCGTTTTAGGGCTCTGAGCACCACTTCTTCCCAAGCAGCATGTTCTAGATCCTTTGGGGAACGGAAATTTGGCTCTGAGACTAAATGAGACTTGTGCCCTTCGTGAGCAGTCTCCGAGACAGAACACTGGGCCTCGGGGCACCAGCTCTGCCCACCCTTGGTTTGGTCTGACCTCCTGCAGCAGCTGTGGCCTCCAGGATGTGCCCCTGACCCCTGAGCAGAAAGGCTGCCAGCCCTCTGGGAGCCGGTGCAGGGGCGATCGGGTCTTGTCGATCTTCGCGCTTGGTGAACTGCCGCTCTCTCTCTTTCCCTCCCCATTCCAAACCCCAGGCTTAGTGTGGGACGTGTCTGCGGCGCCTGGGGACCAAAGCTGCGCTTCTCCCGTGCGGGTGGGTGCGCCTCCATCCCGGGTGCCGGGCGCGGTGGCGGGCCGGGGTGCCCTGCACGTGCAGAAACTTGGAGACACCGGGAGCATTCCGTGTCAGTTTGGAGGGCTCGCCTCAAAATGGTAGAAGTCCCTCCAACGCCTCTCCCTCCCTCAGACAGCACGACAGGGCTGCCTCCCAGTGCCTCCCGTGTATGGTACCAGACTCTGCCGCCCGGGAGCAGACGCTGGCAGAGGATGCGGATAAACAGCTTGGCACAGGTTTTCTCTCTTTCCTCTTCCCCCTCCAGATCGAGTTTGTGACAGGCACCAAGAAAGGTACCACGACCAACGCCACGGCCACCACCACCACCACGGCCAGCACAGCAGTTGCAGGTAGCAGGCTGCTTCGTTTGGGGGAGCAGAGGCCATGGGGACCTGGGCCCAGGTTCCACCTTGCTGTGCTTCTTTCCTGACCCCAGAGTTTGTGAGGCATCTTGGGAGCCTGGGGTGGGGTCCCCGGTTCACCGGCTGCCCCTCGCACTTCCGTGGCAAGCGGCCCCGAAGCTCTGACCGCTGCCTGCTAGAAAAGGCAGCGTCGCTCTTTGGTCTGTCTTGATCCTGACTCATCCCTTGCCTTCCTCCAGATGCCCAGAAGAGAAAGAGCAAGTGGGATTCGGCCATTCCGGTGACAACGATAGCCCAGCCAACCATCCTCACCACCACGGCCACCCTGCCAGCTGTCGTCACGGTGACCACCAGTGCCAGCGGCTCCAAGACCACGGTGATCTCTGCCGTGGGCACCATCGTGAAAAAGGCCAAGCAGTGACCCGAAGGAGCAGCCCAGGTGGCTCGGACACTCTCCCTTCCATCGAGGGGAGGGGCCGCTCCAGGACTTGATGAGAGTGTGCAACCCGGGGACCGACGCAGCACAGAGGTGCCGCTTTGTGTGTTTCAGGACTGGGATCTGCTCCCGCGACGCCACCCCAAGAGGAGCCTCCGTGTGTCATCCCGGCCAGGAAAAGGACATTGCCGCAGAGGAGTCGGGTGCTCCGGAGAGCGTCCGCACACCGCTTGGGGTCTGGTGCCCTATTAAAAGTGCTGTGTTCTTACATCTCAGCATCTTGGATGCAGTGGCCTCTGCTGTGGTCCGTCTTCAGGCACATGTGGAAGTTCCAAGCGTCCTCTCCTCTTCCCTGTCGGGGTTATTACCTCAGGGTAGGTAACGGAGTGGCCGAAGCCTGTGGCGCTAGGGGAGGCCCCGTGTCCCGGCTGTCTGCTGCCCTGATCCTGAAACCCGGCTGGTTATCAGACGAGAGCTGAGGCCTCTGCTCCCTTGGGGGCAACTGAGCCCTCTCAGACCACTTTTTGGACACACCCAGGCTTTTGAAGTCAGCCGGTTACCAGAAGGCCTGGGTTTGATCCCCAACCCACACAGCCAGAGGGGCCTCAGCGCCTGGCCAAGGTTGCCCCGGTCCTTCAGTGCCCGCCGAGCGCGGCCAGCAGGCTCCTCGCGGCGCGGGACATGACTCACCTCCTGCGCTGGCCGGCGGCAGCTCATTGTTTACGTGCGAGCCAGGCTCCTGGGAGGACCCTGCCACCCCACCTTTCCTGTGCCTGTTATCTCTGCCCCACAGCAGCATCTGGGCAGCGCCAGCGGCCGCCGGGCTCCTCTTGGGGCCAAAACAGATTTCCCAGCCGCCGTCGGCCCGAAAGCCTGGAGGAAATTTCGCTTGCCTTTCTTGCTGTTTGGCAGCTCTCCGGTCCAGCGGAAGGGCTACGTGTCAGAGAGGGAAGCCGGGCCGTGAAGAGCCGGGTTGCTTCTGTGGCACGGGCAGAGCTTTAGAACGATGGTCCTCAAAGTGCACCTGGTAACTGTTGCATGACCAAAGGAGTGTGGTGATCCTGCCCTGCCGTCCCCGAAAGAAAAGTGGACTCACATTGGTCCCTTCCCCCGTCCCCCCAGCCACACACACTTGGGCACCAAGGGGGGTCCGTTGTCCCCCTCCCCTCCTTTGCTGGGACTTCACGGCCCCGGAGAGGAGCTGCTGTGCCCTGAGTCCCAAGAGGGTCTCTGAAGGCTGGCTGCCCTGCAGCCTCCAGCAGGGGCACCTCCATAGTGTGGGGGCTCTGGGGCTCGCGCGGGAGGCTGTGTGACACAATGGGAGTGGCACTGGACGCAGACTCGGCCCCTCTGCCCTGGATCCTGGGTTAAACTTGAAGTTGTGTGTTGGTTGGTGTGTCTTGGGCCATTGTCTCTGTGAGTCCCCTCTGTCAAATCACCGTAATAAAGCTTTGTAAGGTGGTTGTGAGGAGTCCGTGAGCTGATTCGCGCAAGAGCTTTATAAACTGTAAGGGACCCTGCAAGTGCGTGTTGCTGGCCTATCCAGCGCCTTCTTGCTTTAGACCAAGGACAGAAACTCCACAGCTGATAAAAAAAAAACTCCAAGGTCATGACCCTTTGCTGTCCTCTGGGCACCCACTGCCCTCCCGTTGAGCAGTAATGACCACTCACCCAATGAGTTGGGCAGCCCCAGGGTAGCCTCCCGGAAGCCTTGTGAGTTGGGTCAAGGTCTCTAATCCCTCTGAACTTTACTCTTTTTGTAAAACAAGATTAGTGCCTGCCCACCTTAGTCCCACTGAGGGTGGCACGGAGTCAAATGACCAGTTTCTTTCTGTGGAAACGGTGTCACAGGCACTAGGCACCAAGTCGTTTCTGCCTGGTTTGCTCGTGGAGAACTCAGCCTGGTCAGTCGAGCTCTCCCACCCACCCAGGCTTCCCTGCCTTCTTCCTGTGCTTCTAGGAGCATGACCTTATGATCTGTCCTGGGCCAAGAGCTCCACACCTGAGATCCTGTGCTGTCCCCACATGTGGTGGGCCACTTCGGAAACCCCTTCTCTGTCGCCATCACTCCTGCTTAGTTCCGGCCCTCGTCCCTCTTGTGGCAGATTGCTCTGACCTCGTCTGTATGTTTTCTCGGTCTCTCCCGCTCCTGTCCAGGTTCCATCTGGCCACCTCCTCCTACACCCCCTCATCACAGGACTCTCACCAGGTCGCGTGGCCCCTGCTTTCCCCCTGAGAGTCCCCCTTCAGTGTGGCAAGGGAAGGACACCAGTGGCCTCGTCACCACTCCCAGCCCCCCGAGGCCTCCAGCTCCTTTTCTCCACTGCCCTTTGACCATCCCCACTTCTGCACATGAGGCACTAACAGATGCAGCTCAGGCCTTCCTTCCCGGTCTCCCCTGGGCGTTCATCGCTCCTTTCTCCGTGCCTTTTAACGGCTGAGCACAGGTTGGGGGCCAAGACCACTCGTCTCTCCCTGTTCTCCTTGTGAGTGGAGACAGAGTGGTCAGCCACCTTGTGCCCCAAGTGCCCAGGTGACTGGAGGGACAGGGATGGAAGGAGAGGTGGTTCCTGCCCGCTCGGTCACTGGTCTGAAAGCTCCCAACCCTCATCCCACCCGCACGGCCTTCTGTTCTGGATTACCGGCACATTGGCAATTGTTGAGGCCCAGTGATAGGCACAGAAAGGTTCATTCACTATCCCCTCCAAATTCTGTGTATGTTTAAAATCTGTTAAAGAAAAAAAAAAAAAAATGAAAGGGCCGTTGAGCCAGAAAAGAAGAATGAGGAAGATCTCCATGGACAGATCTGGAGTGATCTCAAGGAAGGAGAAAATGACAGGGGCAGGGTGTAGAACACCGCGTGTCATACACTGCCTGTTGTGAAGAAAAGAGGAAATACAAAACAAAAATGAGAGCAAAGAGATAAAAGAATAAACTCCCAAGAAATAAAGAAAATTCTCTAATGTTTGGGAAACATCGATATGAATTCATGATTCCAAAAAAAAAAATTTCCTAGCTATGTCCACTGGAAGGACCCGGAAGCAGTGGCCCATAGGAGCAGTCAGTACAAGCAGCACCCAGATCTTGACCTCATAATGCGACTCCCCACAAAAAGGAACAGGGCTCCTTAGAGAAAGGGCTGATCCCGAAATCTAAGTGGGACTGGGGCAGTTTATTACAGAAAGCCAGGAAGACTGACAGGAGTGTTCCAAAGGTCAATTGAACCGGTTTTGAAGGGATCTCCCCCTGGCCAAATGGGATTAAATTTGAACCTTCAGAAAGAATGCAATTGTTGGGGTGCCTGGGTGGCTCAGTCGGTTAAGCGTCCGACTTCGGCTCAGGTCATGATCTCGCGGTCTGTGGGTTCGAGCCCCGCGTCGGGCTCTGGGCTGTCAGCCTGGAGCCTGTTTCAGATTCTGTGTCTCCCTCTCTCTCTGACCCTCCCCCGTTCATGCTCTGTCTCTCTCTGCCTCAAAAACAAACGTTTAAAAAATAAATAAATAAAAAGAATGCAATTCTTGTCAAAAAGGAAAAACTCTCTTGTTCCCTGTACACTACCACTCACAACACCCCCAGAACACTTCTGACACCAAATGTGTAGGCTTTTTACATCCTGTAATTTCTTAAGTTTATTTACTTAGTGGAGAGAGCGAGCACGTGAGCAGGGTAGAGGCAGAGAGAGAAGGGAGAGAGAATCCCAAGCAGGCTCTGTGTTGTCAGCACAGAGTCCGATGTGGGGCTTCAACTCATGAATGGTGGGTGAGACCATGACCTCAGCTGAAATCAAGAGTCGGACACTTAACTGATTGAGCCATCCACGCAGCCCCCACATCGTGTAAGTCTGACACCAACTGCTTGTAGTTTGCGCAGACCCCAGGTTAAGAGCTTAGTACCACAAGACTGCCCCCTGCTCAAATGCTGATTGTAGGGCCAGGCCCCTGGCACTTCTGACCAACTGGTTATAAATTGGGAGTTCCCATGACCCCCTCTTCAGACTCAATAATTGGCTAGAATGGCTCACGGAACTCAGGAATAACAGTCGACTTACTAGACTAGCTTATAAAAGGGATACAACTCAGAAACCGCCAGATAAAAGAGATACATAGGGGGCTCAGTAGGGATTAAGGAGTATGGAGCTCCCACGCCTTCTTTGGGCACACCACCCTCCCAGCACACCAGGTGTTCAACAAGCTGGAAACTCTCTGAACCCCCTTTGGTTAGGATTTTGATGGCGGCTTCAGCACAAGGCATGGTGGATTAAATCACTGGCCATTGGGGATGGAACTCAATCTCCAGTCCATTCGCCCCACTCCCCAGAGGTCGGTGGGGGTGGGGAAGGGTTGAGGCTGAAAGTTCCAACTCTAATCATGCGGTTGGTTCCCCTGACAACCAGCACCCCCATCCTTAGTGGCTTTCCAAAAGTCACCTCATTAACATAAACTGGTGTGATTGAAAGGGACTTGTCATGAATAACAAAAGACACTCCTTTCACCTCTATGGCTCCAGAGCTGCTCTGGGAACCATGGACAATGACCATTTATAGATGTCTTACTATATCACAACATCACCATTGTACACTATTGAGTAAATACAAAATTATTCATGCAAAAAAAATTATTCATGCATAGTATTTGAAAAAAAAGATGTAGTCGTGGACCACTGGAATTGAATACATTAACTCTTTACTCTGAAATTGATAGTTAAAAGAATTCACCCTTTGGGCATTCCTGATGGAATTCTAAAACGGCACAATCGTTCTGGAAAATAGTATGGCGCTCCTCAAAAAAGTACACATGGGATTGATTACCACATGATCCATCAATCCCACTTTTGGGGATATATCCAAAAGAATTGAAAATAGGGTGGAGAAGATTTATTTGCCCACCCCTGTTCATACAGCAGCATTATTCACAATCTCCAAGAAGTGGAAACAACCCAATGCCCATTGATGGAGGAATGGATAAACAAAATGTGGTATTTAGACA